CAAAGCCTGGTTGATCATACACCCCAAGCCGCAAGGTCCCGATTGGAAGGTCGATGAGTTGTGTTCTCTCATCACGTTTGACCATGGCATGATTGGGTTTCCCGAGACGGCTCACGGAGGCGTTGTTGCCTTGGTGATGGATGAAGTTACGGGCATTCACATTGTAGTCCAGAGGCCGGCGGGTACAGAGCCCAACAAAGATTTCAGAACGGGTTACTTGAACACGTCATTTCGAAAGCCTGTTCCTGCGCCGGGAACGGTGCTAGTGAGATCGAGGATAGCCAGAGTTGAGGGCCGCAAGTATTTTGTTGCGGCTCAATTAGAGGATGAGAACGGTGAAGTGCTTGCAACAGCGGAGGTCTTGTATATCTCAATCAAGAACAAATTATGAGTCGTAAGGATTTGTACAGTATACTTTGACAAACATGCGGTTTGAGAAGACAGAAGGAAGCCATAGAAATCAGATCATCATCTGAATAGCACAGAAGAGCCTCGAGATATCACTTGAGCTTGCATGGAACTATGCGCTGGCTAGACTCGGAAGTTACTTTTAGATAGTATTTTTATATTTGATTAAAGTAGTCCTGCATTTGGTCAACGTGAAGATGAGAGTTGGTTTATGTTTACGTGAGTGAACCAGGGAGCACCGGGGTTGGCATTGACCAAGTTGACAGCCGGAAGTTGTCCTCGCCAATTTGCGTACAAGAGTGCGGGCGTAGATTTGACAGGGCGTTGCCAAATCTTTGAAATTTAGCAGTTTACTTGACAATTAGCACTTTGAAGACGTAAAGATATTCAAGTATGCTAGAACCTGAAGAAGTCACGCATGGCATTGCTCAAGTTGGTCGTTAATGTAGCAGTATGCGAGGACTGAGGGTCTACAGCGAAGCCTGGATCAGTAGGTCGGACCTAGACTCGAACAGCATAAGGAGATACACATGTCTAAGTCAACTAGAAGTGCACCATGGAATGACTTGCTACATTCGTTATTGTAGGGGAAAGAATAACGAGATGACGTATTACTTTGATTGTAGTGAGACCGGTGGTTGTTGGCTCACTACTCAAATTTATAGCGTGGTGTGGGGGTAATCCGAGCTGAATCGGCGTAGGCCCCCCATTGGCCGACATGTCGGACCAGGAGGCGAACCGGAGCAGTCCGTACCACGACAAGCGGACCGATCCATCCCCACGATCAGCCCAGAATCTTCTAAGCTAGGGTTTAGTCGAGTCTTCAGATTCTATACAGGTTTTACGCTGATAAATCCTGTACAGGCTTACAAATGTCGTGGGTTCACTAGAAATTCCTGGCTGCTAGCCAACACTAGCCAATTCGGATGTATGAATATGAATATAAAGCACGATTGTTTTGAAATTCCAAGCCAAATCTGAGCAATACTAAACATCTACGTTAGCTATCGCTTTCTTCTGTTACATCGCATCTCACATATCCAATTGGTCTTAGCCACTCCATCTGCAGTTATCATGTCTCTGCCTTACCAGAAAGTCCTATTAGTCGGAGCGACCTCGGGAATCGGTGCAGCTCTAGCGGACAAACTTGTCGAGAATGGCACTTTCGTTATCGCTGCCGGTAGAAGAAAGGAGAACCTCGACAAGTTCGTTGCGAAGCACGGCGCGAACAAGGCTGCGGCAGCTGTCGTGGATATCCTCAAATTGGAGTCGGTATGTTGAGGCTCTTCCCCTTCATGAAGGTATGGTAAAGGATAAGACTAACGAAATGTCTAAAGATTCCGAAGTTTGCTTCGTCCATAATCAACGAGCACCCTGATCTTGATTGTGTATTCCTGAACGCCGGAGTTCAGCGAGGTATCGATTTCACCAAGCCTGAAAACGTCAGTTTGGACATCGTTTATGATGAGCTTCTCGCAAATTACCTCTCCCATGTCCATTTGACCAAGGCCTTCCTCCCCCATCTTTCAAAGCAAGACAAGCAGACCGCCTTACTTTACACCACATCTCAGCTCGGCCTCATTCCGATGAAGCGGTGCCCCAACTACAGTGGCTCCAAGGCTGCTATGCACGGCTTTATTCTCGCACTCAGATCCCAGCTCAAGGATGCGTCTTCAAGGGTCAAGATTGTTGAAGTTTACCCGCCTGCAGTACAGACGGAACTGCACGATGCCAAGAATCAGCCGGACTTGAAGAACGGCCATGCTATTGGCATGCCGGTAGACGAATTCGCCGATGAAGTCTACCAGAGATGGGTCAACGGAGAGGAACAGATCCCAGTGGGAACCGCGAAACCCATGTTTGACGCGTTTGAGAATAAGAGACAGGATTATTATGAGAGCTTTAACGCCGAGATGGACAAGGTGTTGGTAGATTTTACCGTTTGAGTATTGGGTCACCAGATCTTTGGAAAGTAAAGAGGTATGGAGGATTGCGATGGGAAATAAGTCAATTGAGCATTTATCGGATCTTCTCGGGCAATTGATGAAACTATCTCACTCTGGGTCTATGTGTTTGTAATATAATGTGTGGCTTAGGGATTGTTATGGTGCGCATCAATTCCATCAAGTCTTGCTTTAGGGTCTTGGGTGACATGCTGTTCTAGCAAGCGGAGAATAGAATAGATTGCTAGTCAACTTACGAGTGTAGGACAAGTCATGATGATAATAGCAGTGTCACCGGAAGTAGCGGCAAGACTGTTCATTTATCAGCAAATTGTTTTTGCACCCAATTTTCAAGGCAAGGTAGTTACAATTGGATGCCGGTAAGGCGAGGCGGCATTCGATCGCCGAGATACGCCGGCTTTGGCAGCACCGTCTTACCGAACAAAATATGGGCCTATCCCGATCGCGCTCCGTGAAAAGGTGGACCCCATCGGCTGGTTAACCGCTGGCCCGTGCTTAACTCCGTCAATCGCCACTTTCTTCCTTTCATTGACATCACGAAAGCAAGGCTAATTCTTAACAAACCCGCGGCCATAGCTCGACCCTCTCAACCATGTTCTGTCCCCCGACGTCCACCGAGGACTGGGATCTTGAGTATGGCGACTAGGCTTTCACGAACACCGCTGCCCTGGGGACGCCGTCTATCCTTACGTTGGCGCACCGAACCACTCGCAGCGAGATGTCGATTTTACACATCCGACCGATCCCCCGAAGCTTCCGAAGCTCCAACACCCAATCGCAGTGATAATGGCCCAGAGAAAGAAAAGGGAGCCATGTCGCGAAAGCTCGAGGAAGCTACAGAAGAAGCTCTTTTGACTGGTGGCCGGCGCGGGCGTCAAGCTATCGAGGATGCTGGGTTTTCCGAAGAACTGAAGCAGCGGCTTCTCGACAAGGTCGAGACCGCCAAATTCCGATCCCAATACGCATCCGCTTTCGCAGAGGCTCAAATGCCCACTTCAGCAGGCGAGGGGACACGTTCAATAGCTGCGGCGCAGGCTTGGACGGGAGACGAGGCGCAGTCTGATACGGTTCTGCGAATGCTCAACGATGCGAAGAAGCCCCTCAAGCCCGAGCTAAGGGGACAATTCCAGATTCCGCCCGTTGACATGCGGATGCGAAAAGAGTCAAAGACGAATCCTAGCCAGCGGGCTGCGAATGCTCGCGAGAAGGCCTCGACATATACTGCACTGGGATTTAAAGAGGAGAGCGGGCAAAGCGCCAAGGAGCGCGAAGAGTTTAGAAAAGAGCTCCGCGACCGATTTGGAGCAGCAGCTCGAGCTGTGCCGAACACTATATCAGGCCTCGAGTCACTGGCCAACGAAAGAATAGAGGACGCCATTGCTCGTGGGCAGTTCAAGAACATCCCTCGCGGCAAGGGGGTAGAAAGAGACGCAAGAGCCGATAACCCTTTCATCGATACCACCGAGTACATAATGAACAAGATGATCAAGAGGCAGGAGATTGTCCCGCCATGGATAGAGAAGCAGCAAGAGTTGGCCAAAACCGCTGGCATCTTCAGGGCAAGACTACGCAACGACTGGAGGAGGCACGTCGCCAGGATGATTTCGTCAAAAGGTGGGAGCTTGGAGGAGAAGATGCAACTGGCCGAGGACTATGCTCTTGCAGAGGAACGCCATAATCCGCGCAAGAGAAACAGCGACAGTATTTCGGTTCCCACCAATGTGACCGATGATCCTGTCATGGCGAAGGTGCGTCAACAGGCGGTCGAGGGCAACAGCACTAGCGAAGCCGGAACAGAGGCAGCGCCGACGAAGCCTGCTCGGCCACTGGTACAACCCTTCCGCGACTCTGATTGGCTTGCAACTGAGAGCTTGTATATGAACCTCGCCGTCAACAACCTCAATGCGATCACGCGTTCCTACAACCTTATGGCGCCAGAACTGGCGAAGAAGCCGTACTTCTCGCTTGAGCGAGAGCTCAAGGCTTGTTACGCCGATGTCGCGCCCCTTGTGGCAGAAACTATCCGCGAGAGAGCCACCAGGCCGACAAAGACATTATTCGATGCAGCAGGGGGCGGTCAAGTCACGGTTTTTGACCGCTTTAGTAAGGAGGGAACATCGGCCAAGATATACGATTCCAGGGCTCCTCACTATGGCTTCAAGGAAATGTGGAGGGATCTCTTCAACTGAAAGTAGATGTATTTTTCCGTCCGGCTCATTTCATTAAGCTCTGAGTCTCTTAATTTAGCAGCAACCGATGTCGGGGTTGATAGGTACGATCTTCATCGTCGATGCCTTCTTCTAAACGCAGCGGGAATATCTTTCCATGAATATCTTTCCTGCTGGAAATTAGCGTGCTTCCTGAAGCCTCTTCTGACCCAGATCGGGTTACATTTGAGAATCAATCCCCAACGCTGTACAGCCAGCTCAACCGGGCCTGTGCATGTCGCACTCGCTTTGTATCGGAACCTGGATGGATCACTTAAACATCTACGGCGGACATGAGGGCCCGCGATCACCTGGCACCCACTCCTGTCTCACACTCTATCCCAGCCTCGTCCCATCCGGGTTGCCCTCTCTCATTGCTCACCAACAGCCAAAGCCTATACAATCAACTCAACCTTCCCAGTCACACAAGTAGAAGGCGCCTGCTTGGGCGCCTTGGCCCAGCGGAACACTCAGCTGGTGTCGTGGGATTTCCACATGTCTCTGTTGAGACGGACCTCGACCCCTTGAGTTCGACTCCTCGCTGGGCCCTTTTTTGCCCTTTTTGCCCTTTTTGCACCTTTCTCTCTCCTTTTGTGATCTGGAATCACGTCACCCTGACTTTTTCGTAATAACGCTACTGGCTCTTTGCTTGAGACGCTGTATGCAATCCAAAAAAGTGGACATTTCTTGAAGAGTAAGATTGGGAAGGACGAGATGAGATTGTTGATGCCGGGCAAAAGTGTTTGCGGAGTACACCGACAAATTCGCTTGAAGATGGCTAGAGTTCCCCCATTGGTTTGGAACCGTCTCTTACGTGCTTAGATGAACTTTAGACAAAGTATGGGCAAATCAGCTAAGATCTGTAGTGACCGTAGATAATTGCAATCTGAAACGATGAAATTAGACTTCCTGACGGCATTTGATTTTGAGTCGATCATTTAGTCGTGACGTAACTTTCCTGAGCATGGTTCATTCATCCCACCGGCAGATGGAGATGAACCCCAAGAGTATTGAGTAAGCAGAGAGATTGATTGGCGCCAGGCTTCACGTTCGGTACGAGCCGCGTCTTGGCTGGCAGTTGAGACTGGAGACAAACTGACTTGCGACATCGAGACCGGTGGGATGAGCACCGTCCTCCGATCGATATTTGTCCGAACGCCCGTCAATGAGCCTTTTGATTGGCTTCATCTGAGAGGATGCCGTTCGGATTGTGTTCAGTCGGTGCGGACACGGGCCGGCTTGAACATGTATTCGTCCGAAAACTACGGATCGCGGACTCACGGAGGTTCAACGTCCGGATGGCTGGTGCGTCCCACCGAATTGTCGTCAGTCCGATAGTCCGCCATGGTGATGGGTATATGTCGTGCGGCCACATTGGGATTGAAGCTCTCAGATTTATCTGAACACCATTGCACCAATCAAGCGCCAGACAATAAATCAATTCTTACACGACCATTATGGAGACTATTACCTTTTCCAACGAATCGCTCATCAACGCGGCTACGGACCGCCAAGAAGTCGGCCAAACCCCTTGGTACTATGTGCTCGGGACATGCGTACCACTTGCCATTCTCGTGCTGTTCTGGATGAGAGATCATGGCACCAAGCTCCCGTATCTCAATCCCAAAGGACGGTTCGAGTGGTCCTCGGACAGGGTTGTTCGGGAGTTCGTATTCAATTCCTACCGAATGCTGTATTCATCTGCAAAGGACTTCCTCGGCAAGCCTTTCCGTGTGCTGTGTGATGTTGGAGATGTCATTATCCTGCCACCTGATGTTGGCCAGGAGATTCGGAACGACAAGCGCTTTAGCTTCGTTCAAGGTCTATTTGAGGTGCGTCTTCCAAGGGGGGATAACAGGGGATTCGATTGCTCGACGAGGAAACGTCTACTAACATGCAGGACAAAGGACTTCCAAGGACAATATGCGGGCTTCGAGGCTTACAAGGAAGCCTGCCATCCTTCCGAACGTATCCAGAATGTGGTCAAGCTAAGGCTAACCAAGACCCTTGGTACGTCTAGCGGTGATCTTGTAGCCACCTATTCGCCTTGATTAATGCTAACCTTGAACGATCCTTTGCAGGCAGGATTTCGGGCATTCTTTCGCAAGAAGTTGAAGAAAGCCTACGGGACACGCTAGGTGAATCGACTGGTACACTTGATCCCACAACATCAACATCTCGGACTTTGACTCGGTGCTAATGAATGGTGCAGAATGGCATGACACGGTGGCCAAACATGAAATCCTCAAGATTGTGTCCCGGATGTCATCCCGGATCTTTGTCGGGAAACGGCTAGGGCGCAACGAGAAATGGCTGAGCACCATCGTAGGATATGTCGAGCTCAGCGTCCACGCGATGCAGAACCTCCGCTTCTGGCCCAAGTTCCTTCGAGGCATCGTGGTGTACTTCCTCCCCGGACCCACGAAGCTGCGCGCGTACATTAGAGACGCCGAGACTCAAGTCTTTGCGGAGATCAAGCACCGTCAACAGGAAGGGGACTCTGTCGAGGAGTACAACGATGCCATCGAGTGGTTCAAGGAGATGGCCAAGGGGCAGAAGTTCAACCCAGCTGTCGCACAGTTGATTCTGGCTGGCGTGGCGATCCACACTACGGCGGACCTAGTTACCCAGACTCTCTACGACATTCTTCAGCACCCTGAGCTTATTCAACCTCTTCGAGAAGAAGCTATTCAAGTCATTGGCGAAGGAGGATGGAAGAAGACGTCGCTGTACAACATGAAGCTCATGGACAGTGTTCTCAAGGAGAGTCAGCGACTGAAGCCGAATCAGATTGGTAAGTTCTTTCAATGCTCTCCTTGCATGACTTGCAGACCCAAAGAAACTTTGCTCACAGACTTTTGAAGTGGGAATGGCCCGTCGCGCCACAGCAGACGTCCAGCTCTCCGATGGAACGGTTATCAGCCGCGGCAGCGCGACTGTTGTCTCAGCCGAACGTATGTGGGATGACAAAATCTACGAGAACCCGCACGTCTTCGACGGCTATCGATTCTACCGTGAGCGCGGCGGCCCCAACGACGCAGTCAGCCAGTTTGTCAGCACCAGCGTGAACCACATGGGTTTCGGTCACGGCATGCACTCCTGCCCGGGCCGCTTCTTCGCGGGAAATGAGGCCAAGGTTCTGCTTGCTCATATGCTTCTGAAATACGACATCAAATTCGTCGAGGGCCAGAAGCCGAAGTTTGCAGAGTTTGGGTTCACGCGCGAATCGGACTCGGATGTCAAGATCTCGGTTCGTCGACGCAAGGAGGAAATTGATCTCTCCGTTCGGGTTGAGGAGGAATAGATTCCTAAGGAGGCTTATTCATCCAGGCTCTGGCTTTAATTTGATCATCGGCAAAGGTCTTTTCAATACTTTGAGGAACAGAATGGGGCAGGGCACTTATATCGAGGACATTGGTAGTTTGTTTAGCAAGGATTAGAATAGACGGATTGAAAATCAACGGCATTTGCACCTTATCCCCATCCAAAGTGAAGCGCGCTTTATAATTCCTTTCCTGTCACAAAAGTTTTGTTTAATGCTATCATACAAAGGCCAAAGCCGACCTATGTTTTCCACCCATAATCTACGGTGATGAGTAGACGTAACCGTAAGCCTTCTTCGCCTCATCAACTTGCTTCTTGACCTCGGCTTCACTCTCGACAAGGTCCTTTTCCTCCTTCAGTCTCTGCTCCATGCTGGCAACCGACATGTACGGAGAGCTGGGAATTTGGATGCCTCGCTGAACAGCAGGTCTCTCATAGCATCTGTCCAACCATGCCTTGACGTTCGGGAACTGGTAGATATCCACGCCTGCCATGGGAGCGCCTTGCACCCACCCAATCATTGAGATATCAGCGATGCTGTAGCGCCCGCGATCCGGACCGACAGCAAAGTCCCGCTTATCGAGATGGGTGTTCAGAACGCCAAACAGTCTCTCCGTCTCACCGACGTAGCGCTGGGTGGGGTAGGGGATTCTCTCCTTGGAAAACCTGACAAAGTGGTTCGCTTGACCTTGCCTGATGAAAGCATTAGTCTCCCCCCTCAACATCATGAGACGGCTATACTCACATGGGCCCCAGTCCACCGTGTTGCCAGCCAATCCAAGACTCGGCCCGGGTGTAGTCATTGTCCGAGAGGGCGAATGAGAACTTGTGCTCAGTGTCGTACTTGCGCGTAAGATAGCTGAGAATGGCGCTGCCCTCAAAGACAGCAAGCTGCTCGTTGTCATGGTCTACGATGACAGGGATGCGGCCGTTGGGGTTGAGTGATGTGAACCATGGCTCCTTCTGGATGTTTTGCATGATGTTGATGCTTTGGACTACGAAAGGGAGCCCGTAAGCCTCCTTCAGTTCCTCTAAGATGATGCTAGCCTTATAGCCATTCGGAGTGCCTGAGTACAGTCGTTTAGCAAGAGTTCATAGCTCAGAGTGTATTGTCTTAAATAGTTTACCGAATGTCAAGAGCTCGATGCCCTTCTTGGCGATGAGACCAGTGGGACGTGCAGCAGCCATTGTGATGGGATGTGACGAGATGAGGATAGGGTAAACAATGAATTCAGATGGGAACTATTTGGACTATGATGTCGAGTATATGTGATCAAAGCTGAGCTACCGCAGGATGTTGCAATTGTACATATATATGTTGCAAGATGCTGTAGATATTCGCGTAGCTGCAATGTGAAGCGGATTGCTAATACAGTTCAAGCTGACAAATGCTTCTCCACTGTGTCCATGACGACAAGGACGACTCTCTGGAGTTTAGCGACTTTTCCGGTTCCGGAAAAGTCGCGACTCAGGCCGCTTACCACGCGACGAGAACCTAGTCCCGCGCGCCAGCTTACAACAAGCAGCTTGTCCGACATGGAGGAGTTGAGAGCTTTCTTATGTATTGTGACGATTGATAATGCTTGAATTTGAGGCTTACGCAACGCACTTATCCCAAAGAAATTCGTGCGACCGTTTGAGAACCTCATACCACTCAAAGCTAGATGCTTTGAAATGTGATGCCTGGATTACTGGACTCGAAGGTCATTGGCATTCGATAGGCAGACTCAGTGATGCTCGCATACAGGTCAGCGAAGATGTCTTAACAAGACACCTCAGCGTAAAGCTTGTAACCCTCAGTCTCGTCGAGTCTCACCGAGTCTCACCGAGACAAATCGATTTGTTCGGATGCTTTGTGTGATTGTGCAGCTATTTGTTAGTCCTTGATCTTCTGACATCCGTACGGAGGAACCTTCTCAAAGCTCGCGCGTTGACCTTGAATTCAAAGTTGAGGGCATGGCGGTACGGTCGCCGTTGTGACCTGAGCAGCATTGTTACCCCACAATCCAGATGAGTGTATTCATGGCAGGTTGCCCGTGCTGTCACGCAGAGCCTCAGTCAAGCTTCGAATGATTACCTTACTCAAAACTACGATTCCTTCCTGAAAGACGACCTCTGACTGCCCCCACGTGCCCCTTGAATCTGAGCTTGAGATGTTGGGGATATAACCCGGAGCTCAGGAGTATCTGTGGATTGTTGGGGGTCACCTTAGTCATTCCCCAGAACTTTCAGCTCCAGATTCTCAGAGAGGCAAAAAATCCCGGCCAGAGCCTTGACCCCACAAGCAGCTAATGCTCTAGCAGGGAAAGCTCCATGTCAGGCAAGGGTTAATTCGCCAATGCCTTGGAAGTATGACGTTAAATAAAGCTCCAACACGAACGCTGAAGCAACGAAGCTTCCTTCTGTTTGGGACCGATCCAGTCTGACGGGTCACGATTTGACGGTAGTTCACCCACCCTCGAGTGAATTGGGTAACTTGCAGCGGTTGACGAGACCGCCGGGCGGATACCGAGCATGCACCGAGTGACGCGATCCATCGTGGGCCCGAGATCGGACCGTCACTCGGTCGAGTAAATAAAGCTCCGAGTCCCATCCTCTCGCGCTGATAAGGTTGCCAATTGCTTGATCTTTGACGACAATAGCTTCTCGCTTGAACCTAGGCCTCCACTACCAAGCAACACCACGCAGACATAGCATTCGAGGCAAGATGACGCTCATCAAAGAGCCAATCATGGAGCCGGTGAACATCGCGGACGTTCACAAGATCGCACAACAGAAGCTCGCCAAGCCAGTATGGGATTATTACGTGACCGGCGCTGATGACGAGTATACACTTGCGCGCAATCATGAAGCCTACAATGAGTGAGTCGCATCCCCCGCAATCTTCACGGCTGATTAGTATTCTAACCATTGATTACCGTGCAGCATCCTCCTACGGCCTCAAATGCTTCGCAACGTGAGCGACATTGATACCTCAACCACAATCTTCGGCAAACGTTACGATATCCCGATCGCGATCGCACCGAGTGCCTATCAGAAACTGGTCGGCGGGGAGGGCGAGCTCGACGTTGCTCGCGCCGCATTCAACCTCGGAACAAACCTCACCCTATCAAGCAACGCCACGACTTCTCTCGAGGATGTCTCAGCAGCAATCCCCCAGCGCGGCCCAGATTACCCCCGTCCTTGGTTCCAGCTCTATTTCCTCGGCAGCCGAGATCTCACGGCGAAGCTCATCAAGAGAGCCGAGAACGCGGGCTACGAGGCCTTGGTCCTGACTGTCGACACTGTCATCTTGGGCAACCGCCTGCAAGAACGGAGAACCCCTCTGGAGCTCCCTCCAGGAATTGCTATGGCCAATGTTGAGTCGCGCAAGTCCGGCGCCATTTCCACAGCCGGGCTACTCTTGCGCGCTAAGACGATGGCGGAGCATAAGAAGATCCAAGAAGAGAACCACGACCATCTCGTCGACGCCAGCTTGGAGTGGAACGAGGTCATTCCTTGGTTGAGGTCGCAAACCAGGATGAAGATCGTTCTGAAGGGAATTTTGACTGCGGAAGATGCACAGAGATCAGTAGAGGCTGGTGTGGATGCCATCGTTGTGTCAAATCACGGTGGGCGCCAACTTGACGGTGTGCCGTCGACAATTGAGGCGTTACCTGAGATCACGGACGTTGTCAGAGGCAGAATCCCAGTCATCGTCGACGGCGGTATCACAAGGGGAACCGATGTGTTCAAGGCCCTCGCCCTCGGCGCCGACCTGGTTCTCATTGGCAGAACTGCACTGTGGGGATTGGCTTGGGATGGTCAGAAGGGAGTCGAGGGAGTTCTCAACATCCTCGAGAGAGAGTTGACAAGAGCTATGGCACTGATGGGAACCGCAAAGCTCAAGGACATCTCAAGAGGTCTGCTTGGACGGGCCAGGCAGAACGGGTTCGGTGTTGCGAAGCTATAGATATGGGCGTTTCATCCTATCATGGAGTAGTCATGACCCAGGCAAGATAATCTTAGATTGGATTTTGTTTGCTTTCCAGCCAAGCCCCAACGTATTAGACGATAGATCAATGCCGATTTCATTCATTCTGACCGGACGCCTTTCGAGAATGATTGATTAATCATCGTTCTGTGTCACCAGTATCGACTTCGCCTCAATAGATATTTTCAAACTTACTGCACATTAATACCACAGGAGCTGAGTATGCGTGGTAAAGCGCAAGTTCTCATATCAGCCTCTCACTGATAACAAAATGGCTAAAGCTCGAGTTCTATCGTCTTTGGAGGCGGCCTGACCGTAAACTTAGGGATCGTAATGCTCCGAAAGGCAAGGGCAAGGTTCAGTACTCTTAAACTAGCCTCCCATTGATGAATAGAGGAGCTGTTACTCATGAGTCTGATCTAGGCCCCGAAGCGGAGGCCAAATCCAGCCGAATCAATTGGATTAATTCTTCAACTATAGTGGACAAAGGCAACAAGCAGTGTCAGAAGTTGCAAATGCGTAGAAATTTCGTGACACTGAATACAAAAGTGGTTGGACAGGCTGTTCGCCCTGGAAGGCTTCATCGCAAGTGGGATCTTTCCGAATTCCCTTTTTTCACCCGTAGAGTGGATTTATAGAAGTTACTTGAGTAATATTTAACTCTATAGCTCAAATCTTTGCTCGTCTACAAGAGCATTCCTAGGGTATCTCTATTGAGAGCACTCGCGATGTGCGAGTTCGTATTTTCGAATTCCAAATCAAGCCGCTGCAATCTCTCCGCACCCTTGATTCTACTCCTCGCAAGCACCTCTACAATACTCAGCACCCGGGGGAGGCGGGCATCGCGCACCATCGGGCACGACACCGCTCGCACCGCCTGAAACACCCTCTCCATTGAAGTAACACTTTCCAATATCGTTCTGGCAAGGGTTACCCTCACTAGGGCAGCAGTATCCGTACGCGTTGATGTCAAAATTGTAGCAAGCAACAGGGTCGACCTTTGGCTCCGCTGATGGTGTAGCCGAGGGCGCGGGGGCTGCGGTGCTTGTCACCAGCATAGTCGTCACCTCCACGGTCTCCAAGATAGACGTAGTCGAAACAACAGGAGCACCCTCCCAATCTACGAGAGGAATGCCTGCAATTAGAGGCTTGAAGGCTGTCTGATTCATGCCAGACCAATCCTCGCAGACGTTCTCGACAGCTGGCTTGTAGGTCTTCTCTGCAGGCTTACTACAGGGTGCAGAACTGCTGACTGGCTTTGAGCTCGTTGTCGGGGATTGGGTTTGACGGGGGGTGTTGGTGGGCTCATCGGGCCCTGATTGCTGGGGATCCTTCGAGGGATCGCTGACTGTCTGTCCTTCGGGAACGGGGACAATGACGCCTCCGAACGAGGCAAGGCCACCACCGGGTCCGCCAAAGGCGACGGCTCCCGCGGGGATGACGACTGCGACAGTGCCTGATACTGTGATAACTTCGGGCTCTGCGCTACGAGAAGGTGTCGGAGTCGCAACTCTCGAGGGAGCTACATCAGGCCGCTTTCGTTAGCAATGTAGAATAGATGGTAAACGTGTTGTTCTCAGAGAAGTGACCAGTGACTTACGCTTGCTGGTTGAAGTGATGATGGTGGGCGGCAAAGGAGTACGGGACAAAGAGGGTGGCGCCGACGAAGTTGTCGAGTTGTCAAATCGTACCTGGCGCTTCTGGCGCACCAAAGTAGAGGATGCAGGTGATGCTGGGCAAGCGGGCTGTTCTTCTGCGTTGGGAAACGCCATCGAATCAAGTGCAAAGATGGCATAGTTCTGCGCATTCTTTACCTTCTCTGCTGCTGACAAGCGGGAGCAGCTATACATTGTAAGAGTTAATAGATTGATCTCTTAAGTGATTCATTTCGAGTCCGGAAATGCCTTACCATGTGGCAGAGTAGCAGTCCTCAGACCTATCATCAAGGAATCCGAAGAACGGGTTCTTGAGATCATCCGCACGTTCTCCCGCACCCGTGGCAATGAGCATATGCTGGGTCTCGTGGACCAAGACGAAACCCTTCGACATGTCGCCGATGGCACTTTCAGCCTGCCATTGCTTCACCATTCCCTGGTTGGTAGGCCGGGTCTTATCGAAGAAGGTCTCGCATAGTAGTAGTAAAGTGGTCCCAAAGACTGCGGCCTCGGTATCTGTCGCACTCTGTACACCCGCAACCATTTGACCGTCTGCACAGGGTCCATTGTTTCCGGAACAGCCGAAGACAAGACTCTTATCTGTCACTGTATTGGGGGGAAACAAAGGCTCGGGGGAAAATCGGAAAGCTGTTTCGACACTCGGGGGCTTGAGGGAGTCGATTACAGGACGGTAGTGCTTTTCAATGAGATTGGAAGCTGAAGGACCTCCACTTTCTATGCAGTAAGGGCGAAGTAAGCGCTTTGTATCCTTGAAAGAGACGACAGGTGTGTTGGCTTACCAGGTCCGAACCACGAGAAGTACGCTGGAGTCCTCGCAACATTGGACTTTCCAAGAGCAGTAAGAGCTGCATTTGCGAGTTCATGTGCCTCGACAACGCCCTGATCTATATCTAAAATTTGCTGAGGGCTACATGACCATTGCCCCTTGATGATGACGGCTTCGCCATCGAAAAGATCGCGCTTGCTAATGCTTTGATGCGATGCATGTGATATAACCACTGGCAACGACGCTAGCAGAGAGCCAGAAAGCAGTAATGAACGTAAGTTGATTGACATGTTGTAATGAGTGGACAGAACAAATAATGAGTGACGGAGGAGCTGGTCGGCCTGGCGCAGATTCAACATGCGCCGGTAGAAGCGGAAAACATGCTGCACATTTATGGACTTCTACAGCCGGCAAGACCGGCGCATTCTCGAAGCTATCGTCTGTCAGAAAAGATCTAATTAATTATGATGCAGAATCAAGACCAGCTCGCAATTTACTCACTACCCATAGCGCCTCTTTGCCAAGCAGCTCTTAGAAGACCACATTGCTATCAATAGCACCCAGCCAAGCAGCGGGCCACAGACACGGGACCACATGAAACGCCCACATATTGCCACCCTTGGATTAGACACGATGACACGAGCTATAAGCCCCCGGTCACAACCTATAAGCATTCGATCGCTTCGAAAAGGCATATTGAAAGTTTTGAGTACTTCGCCCCAGACAGTCTAGAACCAGCCTCAGTGGTGGCATGTTGTGGTCCACAATGTCGCGAAGACAACTTCATCCCGTCTATGTCAATCAGTTCATCCCTTCTGTGCAGACAAGCTCAAGGCTAACGTTAAGGAGAGTACCACTTCGAATCCTTCTGAGGATGAAAAGTTTCTCATGCAAGACTGGATCGCCCCTACTGCCCGCACGCCTCACGGACTTTGTGGATAGGCATGTTCCTGGCGTTCGCGATATGTCCAACAGCGTCGCAGAATATACCGCCTGGGAACCCGGGAACTCTGAATCTCACTGGAGACCAAACATAAATCTCCGTAAGGCTGTCAATCTCACAGAGCCTGGTTCCTCTACGCAACAGGGATGAGATGATTTGGGCGATGGTGTAGAGTTTGACGGCTGCGCGCGGCTACGACGTGACGCGCAGCTGCGGCATGGACGGAGAAGTATAGTGCGTGAGTTCTTAGTGGTGGTGTGGGCCAAGCCACTGTTTTAACAAACTTCAATCTACGGATAAGGTGCCCAGAACGGCTGGTTGGCAACCATGCTGACATTGGCAGCGAACAAAGCTGTCAACTGCTATCATAGGCTTTCTCAGTAGGTAGTTACAGGCTACGGTGCCGGGTGCCGACTCGTTTTCGCCAAAGAAAACCGGGCGCAACGATTACACGGAGCTGTTGATCCACCCCGTCGGAGTTTCGGAGGGTTGCATTGCAGCTCTAGTTGTCTTCTTAAGGAAGAGAACAAAACCTAAAAGTGTCAACCCTAGTTGAAAGACAGCCCAACAGTCTATTTGTCAATAGGGCTTGGTGCCGCCGAGCCGTCAATTAACACATCATCTTGGCAAGTTCGTGCCTGGTAGCCTTCGTGACCAGAGACATGACTCTTCGCCATAGTAAAGAGATGTACGAACATCGGCTGTGCAATAGATACCAGTATGATGGGTGCCGACATGAATCGCACCCCGGATTGCCGGGATTACGATCACAAGTAGGGCTGACTCGCTCATCATTCATCCCAAAGCTGGGCAATCAATCAGCGTTGTTGGGACGAAGAGCGAACTAGTCTATTTATGATCACTCTTGCCAACCGTGCGTAAGAAAGGCGACGCATAGCCTCATCCAACCAGTACACCTTAGGGCTTCGAGGGATCAAGTGAAACAGACTCGATGGCTTGGCATCATGACATAAAAGGTTTTCTGCCCAAGGTATCAGGAGTGGAAAAGAGCTTACGCCTCTCAACTCTTTTCGGGTTTCTTTTCCAGACTGGAAACTAATCGACAATAGTTCCGTCCGATGAGCGGAGTTTTGAGTACTACTAGTACCGCACGCCCAGCACCAGCATGCTGACTCACGATTCCGCAATGAAGAACTACCAGTGTGTAGGTATAAAGTGTGACATGGAGTGGGTAAAGCAATCGCATTGGAAGCCTTCTTGTTGAGCCTCTCAATAGTTGCCTCGGCTCAACTCTGCTAATTGAGTAGGGAAGACTGCCGTTGGAGATATGAAGGGCAAGGTCTTTTTATTGGATTTCGCCATTATTACCAACATTTGCTCTCATACGCGCGGAGAATCTTATACTAATAGGAGTACCTGAACTTCCTGTTCTCGAAGTCCGTCAAGTCCATGAGAACCTCATCAGATACATCCTCCGCATTGTGTCCACTAGCCTCCGCCTCCGCGTCTCTCTGTTTGTTCCTCTTAATTAACAACAGCCGAATGGCGATAGCCAATACGACTTGACCGGCAGTGCAACCCATGATAACTTTACAGCCAGTGCCGTAGATGGGCGCTTCCGACGCGAGGAAAGCTTGCGGGCCTATGATATTTCCCACGCAATACGCTAGAAAGACGAAGGCTGTTGATGTCACACGCTTGGTGTAACCCGCGACATTCGCAGCCGGCATTTGGAGCGCAACGACAAGAGCACCGACAAAGGAGGGACTCTGCAAACCTTGTTAGAAGCAACATTCGAGAAGGGAAAGAACACCACTCACAATGTAGTATGCCATCAACAGCCCGTTTTTGTTGCCGCGGTCCAGTTTCAAGAAAAGGGAAACAGCAATGAGTGTCGGCAAAACCCACGTCATCATGACAATGGTCCGGAAGTTTTTGAACTTCGAAGCGCAAAAGGGACCAGTGAAGATAAAAAAGGCAACCCAGGCTCCATACGGAATTCCGTAGGCAGTCGTCAAGAGGGCATCCTTTGTAAAGCCCTTAACAATGAGTTTGCCAAAGTTGGCGATGCCGCCGTTGACAATCTCGTTGAGAAGGGTGTAGAAGAACAAAAGCCACACTTGAATGTCCTTGAATGCTTCCTTGATTTGAGCTGGCTTGATCTTTCGGCTAAAGACACCAGTCTTGTTGCTCTGGCTGCGAGCAATAAGCAGGGCCTTCTCTTCCACGGTGAATCGTTTGGCAGTCATGATGTTGTTTGGCAAATAAAAGAACAGGACGATGCCCCACACGATGGTAAGACCACCGCATATAATGAAGATGATTCTCCAAACATCCCATCCGTCTGCCTGACCGACACCGTAGAACAGAATGCCGCCGATCATGGAACCGAATCCGTTGAAGCAGTAGAAAGATCCAGCGCGTACCGGCGCCTCCGCCCTGGTGTACCACATACTGACGATCATCATGAAGCAGGGTGTGATGACGGCTTCGAAAGCACCCAAGAGGAAGCGGCAGACGGCGAGCCCAGCGAAGCTATGGCATGCGGCGGTGCAGGTGAGAACTGTTCCCCAGCAGAGGACGAAGATGCTGACAATGGTGCCGGTGGGGAAGTGCTGAGCAAGGTAACTTGCTGGCCATTCTGCCAGAAGGTAGGCAAAGTAGAAGATACTGGCCAGCCATGAATACTGGCTTTGAGAAGTATTGGTTGTTTCGAAGAGGTCGAAAACTGCGCCGTAGCTCAGGGCCTGCTTGTCGATATACTGCAGAAGGTACGTTCCCATGAGAAGGGGCAACAATGTGAGATCGATCTAAAAATGGCACTCGCGTTAGAATTCGCAATATGAAGACAGGGGATGATGCTGGAGTCCTCCAGAGGAACGAGACCGGAAAACTTACCCGGCGGACAAGCTTTTTCTGGGCCTGTTCATCTTCCATGAGCTCTCGCAGATGCGCATGAGAAAGACCATTTTGCTGCAAGAAGATTTCGGCTTCATCGAGAAGTTCAACCTGACCGGCCTTGAGGTCCTCGCCGATACTGCCCGGCCGAGAGGGTTGCTTCTCCGCGATCTCCAGATCCTTGGGCCTGGGCTGCTCTGCGTTGACGGAAGCCTCAACCGCCATTGTGGAGTCCGGGGAAGTGGGCGAGCGGGTCGTCGCTCTTGTGTTCAAGCACGCGATGGACGATGTGGGCACAACTAGTTCACAAGAATTACATGTAGCAAACGCAAGTTGCTGTAATGAAGTGAGGCTTTACAACGTCAAGCGAAATTGTTGAGTCGCAAGCTCGGACAATTGCGAGATGTCGGGACTTTCCCGGATCGGCAAACTCCAAGGTCGGGAGTCTCCTTTTATTCATTGTCATTTTCAGAGGTAAAAGGTTTCCGGCATTGGCTTTGTCGACTCCTCAACCAACCCCAAGACCAAGTCCCCAACTCGATAAGAGACTAACCGATAGCGACTGTTCGAACATATCTCTGGGCGGCGGCCTACTCCCGACAACATAGGCTACAGATAAGATGTCAGGCGATATTATCTGCCCAAGCCAGCGTCATATCCTAGCAGTCCTCACTAGCAAGACCCAATTGCTGATAAGGGTCCTGGGTCTGAAGGAAATTCCCCGCGTTGAAATGGGGGCATGATGAAGGAGTGGAGTCGCCGTGGACACTGTGCAGCCATTGCCATTGTCGGAAAACCAATGAAGACCGGAGAGCAGATTTAGGTGCCGAAGCTGTTGAATCGACGGTTGAAGAGTGAGTGGAGACATTTCGGTGAACCTCCGCCTTATCAGCTTGCGCGTTGACTAACAACTTATCTTCGTTAGCGTGAGTTGGTCGGGATTTAGCCATGATAGTGGTTGTGGACCTTTCCGCGGGGAAATATCAAAGACACAACTCCCACTCAGCTTCCCCGAGTGCGGTCTGCCGATGAACGGACTTTGCAAACCACGACTGAACGCCAGAAACGAGCAGTAAGCACGCAACCATGTCCACGGTCACAGATCAGCCTACGCCCCGGCCTTACCGGTCCCATTTGCGCCCAGCCTGTTTGCAGTGCAGGCGGCGCAAGTCAAGATGCCAGCAGCAAGAGGGAATCACGTCGTCAACCTGTCAAATGTGCCACGTCTATGGCACGGACTGCGAATTCCCACCGTCTCCTCGCAGTGCAGGTCGAGCACCGCTCAACCCCGGAAAAGTCCAGAAATCCTATCGCACCCCTCAGTCAAACACGCCATGTCGACGGGAGCCTCTGGCATCAGCCAAGGTCCATGTCTCTGTACCTCAGAGCCAGGGTGGTGGCATAGGGGCATCGTGTTCTCCACCGACAAGCACGACGTCCAGCTCGGGCCCCAAAGTTGTGCTTGATCCGCACAACACCCATTTGATG